ACCCCCGACACTAAGAGTGCGGACATAAACAAAACTTCCTGGGTCCGCCACTGATGGGATGGAGAGGCCTTAATAAGGGAACATGATTATATTAGTAGGAATTTTCATGGTAGTAACGACTCCCGAGGGAGGAAACTATTTTGGAAGTGTGATGATCTCAAAGAAAAATTGAAAAGTGGAAATATTGAATCAAAAGCTGTTGGGAACACCCTCAAAGCCTATCAAAAATCAAATGTCGAGCTCGGAGCTCGGCACAATCAGAGGTATGCCTGAGTGAGGCACCAGAGAGAGACAAAGGAGAAACAATAATATTTTAACGTGGAAAAACCTTCCTCCATGTGAAGAAGTAAAAACTCAAGAGATATTAGTCCAGAATCAAGCTTCCATTCTAAAAATAATAGGTAGAAGATATCAAACTTCATCTATAATGGTGGTATTCAAATTTTCCTAAAGAGGTCTCATTCACACTTTCCTTTAGAGGTGCTCACTAATATAATGCTCTAAACCTTTCTCAAAAACACTAAAGGTCCCACCCTTCTACCTTCACACATCACAAGTATATATACAAAGGAGGAGGGACAATTCTAAAATATTAAAAGTGGGAACTAGGGTTTATCGAGCCCCACAAAAGTATCATTGTACCTTGTGCAACATTGAGGAGGAAAAGTCCAACAAAAGCTCCTTACAAAGCAATATTGATATTTTTCCAAGGTACTAGAACTCTACTTTTTTTGCAAAATAGAAACATTTTTCTGTCTTTTAAAAAAAAGAAATATTTTTCTTAATAATGAATAATTTTTTTTTTTAATTACAAAGCTATGAATTGATAACTTTTAAAAATAAAAAATTCTTGTATGAAATTGGATTGTTGTCCATAGACCCTTACCCAATACCACAAACAGCAAGTAGACTAAAAAGTTTAATGAAATTGCAGAGGGTGAGAATTGAACAGGAATGGCTTCAATAACTTAATCGAACTAATAGAAAAAAGTTTATTTGCGACAATAAATTTCATCGCAAATTTTGTCACAAGCGACAATTTTCATACGATCAAATTCAGTTGCAAATAAATTTGCGACGAAGGAATTTGTGATGAAATCTCATAGAATTTCGTCACTAATTAGGTTTTTTCTTGTAGCTTCATCGTTTTACACAAGGCTTCTTCTACATTCTGAGGATGGTGACTCGCTCCTGTCTCGATGACAGTTCCGCTCTCCTCCGAGAAGCTCAATACACTGTATGAATTGATGATTATATCAACACTTTCTCTTGCAAGGTCACGCCTAGCTTAAGCCCGCCTACAAAAGGCTTGAATGTTGTGTTGGTCATGCCTAAGTGAGACGTGAGTGGTCACATCCATTTCATTTCAAGCGTAATTGAATATAATAGATCCATAAATTGATTAAAAATAACTATGTTTTTGTAACTTTTTATCAAAATAATAATATTTTAATTTTGCCAGAAGGTGACGCTAATAATCTCAAATAAAATTTAGAGTACAAGGGTAAGGGTTACTGTTACACGTCCCATATTGGTTGCCTATACAATTAATGTGATGTTTATAAAGCCTTGGACACTTTCATCCTTTGAGCTAGCTTTTGGGGTGATGACCTCAAGGTCTGTAACAATTGGTACTTTCTTTGAGAGTTGAGGCCACAGAAAGGACTACCTATAGGCTGAATCAAGGTGCCCACTGAATACTGATAGGTGGGTGAAGCCGCCCTAGAGGGGGAAAGGACTATCGTCGGGTCAGTGTTGATAGAATGAAAGTCGCCGTGAATATTGGCCCTTAAAGTGGTGACAATGTTACAAGTCCCACATTAATTGCCTATACAACGAATGAGGTTTATTACTGTTGCGACTCACGGCAAGTGCACCGGTCGTATAAGTAATATAATGTTTTGAGTAATAGATCGTTCCCACGAGGATTATGATTCAAGCACTAATTCACTATTTTAGCTTAAGTTGGACAATCAAAATTGTATTTGTAACAAGATTGGATTTGAAATTTAAAATAATTAAACTAATTAATCGCAAGAATTTAAAAATAAGAATTTAAAGATTTGATTTAATTGACAGAAAATAAACCTAACTAGGGTTTCGATTTCCCTCAACCTCTCTATTATTTTGAGTTCCTTCTTATTGTTAATCGCCCTTAATACCAATTCAGTCGATTCTTTATTATGTAATTAAGGCTCAATTCCTTGTTACCCTAATTATTTACAATCTTGCAAGAACCCTAGTTCTCCGATTATTTCCCAAGAAAGCAAGCATTACGTTCAAGAATCATAAGACTGCGCAATATCCTATGTCTATCCCTAGAATCATACGGATTACGATGAAATTGTCAGATAAAGTTCATGCACCAACATCCCTATTGTCATGCTTTCACCCAAGATCAATACACAAGATTCAAGCTCATATAAAGCATTAAGAAAAGACAATTTCGTTCATGATAAAAAGGAAAATTAACGTAAAGAATTATTCAAAGCATAATAGATCAATCGAGTTCCATCTAACCCTAACTACTAAAAGATTTAGCCAGACATAACAACATAAAAAATGAAAGAAATTAGAAAAGCTCCCCTAAATTTCATAGTAGAATGAAAATTCTTCAATAACCCCAGTGCAAGCTTGATTTTGATCCGTCTCCGCCGCTCACGAACATGAACTGGGTGCAGGTTTATCTGCGTTCCCTCTGCCTCCGAGTACCAAGAACTCTTTCAGAATGTCAAAAAGTATGTAATTCTGCCCCAAATTGTGTTTTTAAGGGCAAAAAATTCGTGCCCTAGGTGGATACTTCAAGTGGACCTAAGTTGGGTCTTTCGGGGCGTTTAAACCTGAATTTGGGGGCTTAAGCCTCCTGGGACAGTAGTGCAGATTTGTATGAGGGCGCTTAACTTAAGCGCCCTCTTCGAAGAGGAACTTTTACCTGGCAACGAGCTTAAGCCTGAATTTGGAGGCTTAAGTGCCCTCAGGCAATGGCTTTTTGCGATTTTGGAATATTTGGGGGCTTAAGCCTCCTCTTCAAGAATTTGATTTTCTTTGTTTTTCTTCAAATAAGATCTTCATATCTTCGATTCTTGATCTCCATCTCTTCAATCTTCATATTTGCTTCCAATTATCATCAAATACCTTCAAAATAAGCAAATATACATTATTTAATTCATAATTCATAAAGTCCATGTTTTTTTTTTTGATAACAAAAGTCCATGTTTTTGTGTCAATAAACCCTATATTTAACTTATTTAACTTGATAATTCATGTAATTTTAGTCTATAAAACAAGATAAACTAAAGGTTTATCAATTACTCCCACCCTTTGAACTAGCTTTTGGGTGGTGAAGTCAAGTTCCGTAAAAGTTACACTTACTTCATCCACAAGATAAATACGAGTAAGCCATCTCCTAGTTGAAGTACGGTCTCGGTATATGTCTTACACAGGGTTGGTTTTAAGCCGAGGTAGTCTCATTTAACCAGTGTGCCCATGTGACAATATATAAGAGTAGGGGTGTTCGCGGTCTGGATTGGATCAGTTTTGGAAGACAAAATCATCTGATCCAATACCTTCGGTTTGATCATTTAATCATCCATTCGATTCGGATTTTTTTACAAATCCGATCCGATCCAATCCAATTTTTGTCAATTTGGATTGGATCGGTTTTCGGTTTTTTGAAAATCTTAAAATTTGTTTCATGATTATTGTGCAAATAACATCTTTTGTATATATTGCCTTTGTAATTATTATTTTTGAAATACAAAAGCATCGGTAAACGATAATATAGTTTTTTTTTGGGCAATGAGATATAAAGCTCTACATAAATGAAATTTTGTTGATGAGATGTGATTAGGTTTTTTCTTAGGTATAGTTGATGGGTTAACAAATCTTGGGTTTAGAAATTTTTGGGCTATGATTGGGAAAAAAACCAAGTAGGTAGAGAAAAATTAATATATTGGATCGGTTTGAATTAGATCAGTTTTCATTAACCCATCCGAAAATCGATCCAATCCAATTAAAATTTGCGGATTTTTTTCGGTTTTCGGTTTATTCGGTTATCGGTTTTTCGGTTCGGTCACCGCGATTTGAATCGGATTTGGATTGGTTGATGAACACCCCTAATCCGATTCGGTCCCTATTTGAGACTACTAAGGCTGTCGGACGACTCTTCAGTAACCCAGACCTCTACGCTCGCTTATTTCGCTGTATACGACTATACCCCCTCCATCATGTCTCAAAAAGCATTTCTAAGGATCCCCATTCTCGGACTATCTGTTTATATGTGTTGATGTATGCATGTCATTTCTTTTTAAGTTAATGTATGCATGCCACGGATTTCTTTTGTTTTTCTGTTTGATTGTTGGAGGTTGATAACCGTTGTAATCGTAAAATCTTAACTTTTTTTTTTTCAAATCTGGCATTGGGATTGGCATTTTTGCCATGCAGTCATGCAAAGCAGAAAATTGATCATTTTAATTAGTCCTTCTTGCTTTCCAAATCTCAAGCATGGTTTACTTTTTGCACCGAGTTTATTTTGGTTAACAGTTGTGCATTGTAGGAACCATGCCAACCTAATGTGAGCTTTACAAAAAATAACTTATCCATTGTTATGTTAAGGTTGAAATTAACTTGTGTCAGTTTCGTCAAACACTTGAAAAGAGATTATTTGCTTAGCACGTCTTCCCTTAATCCTGATTTCCTCTCTCAAAAAGGTCATAACAGTTGTGTTTGTGTGATCAATTCATGTCATTGTTTTGTGCAATTAATTGTCTAGAGTAACCTCTGTTGTTTCAGATTCCCAACGATGGAATATTTGAAAATATAAATTCACTGTAGGACGTCACAAAAATGCCTCAATGGACCGAAAAAAACCTCTCTGAGTTGCTACTGGATTCACCTACGTATGTATTTCAAGTTCAGAGTTTGTACTCTTAGCTTTTAGAAAGAGAAAATTTAATTTGAAATTGAATTTTGGTCTTAATTTCCAGCTGGGTACCAAATTAATGAAAGATAATGGATTTAAGCATGCCACATTTTCAATTGCTGATGGAGCACTGGAGGCAGCTCTTGAGGTGAGAGATAGTGTTTGTTTTATTATAAGTTGTTCATTTGACCAATTCTTTGTTACAACAAGACTGTCTTTTGCCCCCAGCAATGATGGGGTTTGGGAGGAAGTTGCTTGCTAGAGATGTTAATATACTAGTCATGGTTGAATATTATCTTGATTTCCAAAAACATAAACATTCTGTGAAAGTTTGAATATTTACGGCCAGAAAACTGAAACAGACGATGCTCAACTTTCATCTCTTGGATAAAAGACTGTCGAACTGCAGACGCATTCTATGTTGTTGATTAATTTGTTTATAGTTATGCATAGAGCAGTGAAAGTTGTGCATTCAATGATGGAAAATATGGTGTCAAGAATTACAAATTATATGTTCCTTGTTGTTTCCCATCTATACTTTCTCATTGGCAAGGTATGTGTGCCATGGTGACCAGCATTTATTAAAGTTTCCAGGCCTTCTTGATGATATCATTACTTTGTTAAGTCAAATGTGGAAGTGGATGATGTCACTGCCATCATAAGCAAAAAAAATTTCCGCATATTCAGATGGGGGAGAATCAAAATCAACATTGATAACACATTTATCCCAAGCTAGTTGGGTCGGTATTCCGTTAGAGGAGAATGATAAAATTTAAAAAATTCCACTGTGCCATGTTGCATTGAGAAGTTTGATCAAATTACAGATTTCTGGTCTGCATTGTTAACTTTGTGTATATGCATCATACTCTTTTTTCTGTTTTATGCCATGGGAAGGAGTGCAGGGATTGTTAATATATCCTAATGCAGAAACTAAAGGTGACGTGGAAGCAACTAAAGCTGACGTGGAAAGTGATGAAGTTAAGCTTAGTTTGTAAATTGATTTACGCGGTTAAAGTCTGTTGTATACAGTTAGAAGTTTGTTATATTTGTTTTTCTTTTATCTGCTTACCACCATGATATATAAGGTGGAAAAGCTTCAATGTACAAAAAGATTTTTCAATACAATGAATTCCAAGAAAACTAAGATGATATCAAAGCTCTAATGCTCTGGGCCATCAACCACGTTCCGCATTACGTTTCCAGTTCTTTGTTTCTTGTTCATTTTCTTTTTTCTTCGTCCAATCAACCTTCTTCTTGATCTTGATAACTATGGCAGAACAAAACTAATTATCAGATCCGTATTACCTTCACCCTAATGAATCACCATCTTTAGTTCTTGTTTCGCCATTGATGAATGGAAAGAACTATCATGCATGGTCGAGAGCCATGAAAGTGGCTTTGATTTCGAAAAACAAGTTAGTGTTTGTGAACGGCACTATCACTGCTCCTACAGAAGACGATGCAATCTTTCCTGCCTGGGAAAGATGTAATACGATGATCCTTTCATGGCTTCACAAATCTATAGCTCCGTCTATAGTTCAATCCATTCTTTGGATTGACAAAGCTTATGATGTATAGAATGACCTGAAAGATCGATTTTCCCAAGCTGACACTTTTCGCATTGCAGATTTACAAGAGGATCTGTTTCAAACCAATCAAGGTGATAGGTCAGTATCTGATTACTTTACAATCTTGAAAGCACTTTGGGATGAGCTGAATAATCTTAGACCACCTCCACCATGCACATGTGGAAGTTTGGTTCAAATACGAGAGCACAGGGAGACAGATCAAGTTATAAGATTTTTGCGAGGTCTTAATGAAAGCTTTGCACAAGTTCGATCCCAAATAATGCTTATGTCTCCTCTTCCAAATATCAACAAAGCATTTTCGCTTGTTCAACAACAAGAAAGACAATTACGAACGGATTCACATATTGACATCGAAGCAAAGGTGTTTGCTGGTTCATCAAAATCCTCACGTGGTCATGGATCTTCATACAGAGGAAGAGGAAGATTCATTGGTGGACGAGGCTCAATTGCTGGCAATAAATACTGCACTAATTGCAAGAAGACAAATCACACTATCGACACGTGCTACTTCAAGCATGGTTTTCCCCAAGGATACAGAACAAAGAATTTTCAAGGTTCGAGTAATGCAGCTCAAACTGAACAAAATACAAACACTGTGGTTAAAGATAATGATGTATCAACTCCACAAGTCTCTGTTTCAAGGGAGAAATATGAAGATTACATGGCTTATATGCAGTAAAACAACTCTGTCCACTCAACTAACATGGCACATACAATTCCATTCAATGAGAATCTCCTTATGACAGGTAAAATTTCGATACAATGGCTCTTAGATACGGGGGCCACATATCACATTACACATATCCCTTCCATGCTCACATCCATTCACAAGATCACACCAATATCTGTTTTCTTTCCTGATGGATCTTCTGTTATAGCTCCATATGCTGGAAATGTGGATATTTCTTCCACTCTTAGATTAGAGAATGTATTATATATCCCAGAATTCAAGGTGAATCTTATATTTGTCACAAGATTACTTGAAAATGCTGACTGTTTCCTGGTTTTTCATGCATCACATTGCTGATTTGAAGACGATTGGTACAACTAGAAGAAAAGGAGGGTTGTTTGTCATGATCACTGAATCTGCACAACTCAATTCGAGTTCTCAAAACTGTTATTCTCATAAATGTTTCCATTGTCATAAAAATGCTGATTTTCGATTGTGGCACCTCAGATTAGGTCATATTTCAGAGAATATATTGAAGCATGTTGCTTCCCAGTTTCCTTTCATACCAGATATACATGTCAAGCCATGTGACATTTGCCACTTTGCTAGGCACAAGAAATTATCATTTCCTGTCAGTAGATCATATGTTAATAAAGTCTTTGAAAGACTACATGTTGACATTTGGGGGCCGTTTTTGGTTCCAACCATTCATGAATATAGATATTTTTTGACTTTGGTTGATGAATTCTCTCGGTACACTTGGATTTTATTCATGGTTTACAAGAGTGACACACGACAGCTTCTACAAAACTTTATCAAACTCATTGAGAACCAGTTCAATGTTTCTTTAAAATGCATTAGAATAGATAATGGGAAAGAGTTCATTATGCCCGAATTCTATTCTCAAAGAGGAATTGTCCATCAAACAAGTTGTGTAGAGACACCACAGCAAAATGGACTGGTAGAAAGAAAACACCAGCACATTATGAATGTGACAAGAGAACTTGCTTTCCAAGCATCCATTCCCCATTCACTTTGGAATTATGCAGTGTCACAAGCAGTGTTGATCATTAACAATTTACCAACCCCATTGTTGAATTACAAATCCCCGTATGAGATCCTTTACTCTAAACCACCCATACTATCCAACCTTCGAGTGTTTGGTTGCCTTACTTATGCATCTACCCTTAATTCCAATAGGCATAAACTTTCCCCTCGAGCACGCAAATGTGTGTACCTAGGACAACCACAAAATACCAAGGGCCATATCCTTTATGATTTAACATCTAAACAGATATTCATTTCCCGAAATACTGTCCTGTATGAATCTATTTTTCCATTTACCATCCATTCCTCATCATTAGATGACCCATCTCCACAGATATCTGTTTCACCTCAACCTCTGCCTCCACTAGACTTTTCCATACAACCACCTACACATGACATTCCCAACCTTGATATAAATATACATACTGATCCCTTAGAACCCAACCATACTGATCCTTTAGAACCCAATCATACTGATCCTAATCATACTGATAATTCAACACCACCAAGACGTTCTCTTAGAACCCGACACCCACCTTTCTACCTCCAAGAGTTTCACTGTAACTCCATACATACCAACAACCTTTCTGTCAAATATCCATTACATGATGTCATCTCATATGAACACTGCTCATCCAAATTCCATCATTTTTGTTCTAATGTGTCTCAGCAGATCAAACCAAACTCTTATACTGAAGCTGTCAAGCATCGTTGTTGGCAGGATGCTATGCATACTGAACTACAGGCTCTTGAATTAAACCATACCTGGAAGCTAGTTGATCTACCACCTGGGAAAACACCCATTGGCTGTAAATGGGTTTACAAAACCAAATATCTTACTGATGGAACAATTGAAAGGCACAAGGCCAGGCTTGTTGCAAAGGGCTATACACAAGTGGAAGGGATAGATTATTTCGACACCTTCTCACATGTAGCCAAACTTACAATTGTCAGAACCCTCTTAGCTCTTGCTGCTGCAAATGATTGGCATCTTGAACAGTTGGATGTCAATAATGCGTTCCTCCATGGTGACTTAGATGAGGAGGTCTATATGGTTCTGCCACCAGGAATTAATGTCAGCAAAGCCAATCAAGTGTGTAAGCTTTTGAAATCTCTCTATGGCCTTAAGCAAGCCAGTCGGCAATGGCACTCTAAGCTCACATCTACCTTATCTTCTCTAGGCTATGTTCAATCATCCGCTGATCATTCTCTCTTTACACTCAAGGTTGGTAACCATTTCACAGCCTTGCTTATATATGTTGATGATATTGTGTTTTCTGGTAACTGTATGGATGAAATTCGACGTGTGAAGACTTGTCTGGACAATCAATTCAAAATTAAGGACCTTGGCACCTTGGGGTTCTTTCTTGGCCTGGAGATTTCTCGATCATCCAAAGGAATTATTTTGAATCAACGTAAATATGCCTTAGATCTTCTGTCAGATAGTGGTCTTCTTGCAGCCAAATCAGCATCTACCCCAATGGATGCCTCTTCAAAACTTCAACGTTCATCAGGTGTTCCTTTAACTGACCCTTCTCCCTATCGTCGTCTTGTGGGGAGGCTTTTATACTTGACAACTACAAGACCCGATATCATGTTTTCAGTTCAACAATTAAGCCAATTCGTCTCTACTCCTACGAATATTCATCATTCTGCTGCACTTCGAGTCCTTAGATATATTAAGCATTCTCCTGGTACTGGACTTTTCTTTCCTTGTAAGAATAACTTGAAGCTTTCAGGATTCTCTGACTCGGATTGGGCTTGCTGTCCGGCTACTCGTCGTTCCATCACCGGACAATGTGTCTTTCTCGGATCTGCTCTCATTTCTTGGAAATGCAAGAAGCAAACGACTGTCTCACGGTCATCGTGTGAGGCTAAATACAGAGCGCTGGCTAGCCTTTCTTGCGAGCTGCAGTGGCTATCATACCTTTTCCAGGACCTATGTTTTCCTTTGGACCATCCCATTTCGGTGTACTGTGACAACAAATACGCAATATATCTCACACACAATCCAACTTTCCACGAACGTACCAAGCATGTTGAATTGGACTACCATGTTGTTCGAGAAAAGGTAGTTCAGAAACTTATTCACTTATTTCTTGTTCCTTCCTCAGCACAAATCGCAGATGTTCTTACCAAACCATTACATGTTACTGCATTGCAAAAGGCTGTATCCAAGTTGGGACTCTTAAACATATATCGTCCCACTTGTGGGAGGATGTTAATATATCTTAATGCAGAAATTAAAGGTGACGTGGAAGCAACTAAAGCTGACGTGGAAAGTGATGAAGTTAAGCTTAGTTTGTAAACTGATTTACGCGATTAAAGTATGTTGTATACAGTTAGAAGTTTGTTATATTTTTTATTCTTTTATCTGCTTACCACCATGATATATAAGGTGGAAAAGCTTCAGGTAGTGTTTGGTTGAAGGTTTATTTTTGGATTGATGGGAAAATGTAAGTGGATATTGGAAAATACTACGTTTGGTTATGGTTTTTTCAAAAAATATCAGGCAAATAGGATAGATGGGAAAATGACTTTTGTGTTGATTTTTGGATGAAATTCACTGTTACAGAATACCACTTGAGATGTTGTATTTTGAGATAACTGGGGAAGTGAAAAAACAGGTGCAAAGTTTCTCCCGAACATAGATTTTGCATATTTAAATAAATTTTCCTGGTAATATTTGGGTCAACCAAACAATTTTTTTTATATTTTCCTACCAAACTTACTTTCCAACTATTTCCCTATCAATTACATTTCCCTAGTAAAAAAAAATTTCTTCCGAACCAAACACTACCTCAATGATATATAAGGTGGAAAAGCTTCAATGTACAATAAGATTTTTCAATACAATGAATTCCAAGAAAACTAAGAGGGATGCAGGATGGAATCTGTGGTTGACTGTTGTGCCAGAGCCCTGTTGGCATTGTACTCTGTGAAATGACAAAACAACTTAGGTAGTGTTTGGTTGAAGGTTTATTTTGGGATTGATGAGAAAGTATAAGTGGATAGTGGAAAATACCACGTTTGGTTCAGGTTTTTTCAAAAAATACCAGACAAATAGGATAGATGGGAAAATGACTTTTGTGTTGATTTTTGGATGAAATTCACTGTTACAGAATACCACTTGAGATGTGGTATTTTGAGATAACTGGGGAAGTGAAAAAACAGGTGCAAAATTTCTCCCGAACATAGATTTTGCATATTTAAATAAATTTTCCTGGTAATATTTGGGTCAACCAAACAGTTTTTTTTTACATTTTCCTACCAAACTCAATTTCCAACCGTTTCCCTGTCAATTACATTTCGTTAATAAATTTTTTTTTCCCCAAATCAAACACTAGTTCTGTTTGCGACAACTTCTCTTGTGTGATTTATTAGAATCTTAATCAATTCATGATGGAAATGATGAACTTTTTTATGGATATTTTATCCTCTTTCCATACAAAGCCATTCCCATTTTATTCTTTTGCCTATTATTTTTGGGTCTTTGCGCCTTAAATCAAGTGATCAATGGATGTCATGTCTATTTTAGTGATGCTTCCAGCCTGCCACCATATGCTGGACGTGATATTTATCTAGATAATCGTGTCTTTGCTCTCTATAGATGGGGATTGCCGATGCTATATTGGAAGGCAGCATTGGCAGGGCAATCAGTGAAGGGCTGCAGTGATTACATAGTCGTACAGGGGCACCACCATATGGAAGGCACCATGGCAGGTTACTGCAAACATGAGGGGAAGCAATGCAGAGGAAGTGGCTGAGAGAGTACTGAATCATTCATCATTATCTGGGTTGCAGGTGTTATATGAAATGAAATATTTCTTAGCATTTGGTTTCTACACTAGCCAAATTTGATTTATACTATAAACAGGGTTTAATGTTTATCAGGATAAATTTTATTTCATATACACACATAAATAAAAATATGTGGGGCTCATATTTTCTTTCTTTTTTTC